CTCTATTTGCCAAGGGAGGTCACCAGTCAGGCTTCCAGCACATTCTCTACATTCGGAAGAAACTCGAGATCAGGTTTGGGGCTTTTGTTACGATTTCAGAACTAGCCCAACTCATCTCTAATTATAAAAACACGATTTTTCCTTTTTTTTCTTTACGCTCACAACCAAGCGTCTCAGTAGATCTGGAACAGCTATAGGACGAACACGTAACAAACATTTAGCGGTTTAAATTCTCTCTCTACTGCAAGTTTAACTAGTTGTACAGATAGTTTATAAGCACAATATTTTAAAACAAACGTGGCTGGCCTCCCTCCCGGGCCGCCTTTGTGCTACTTCCGTGCTCGAAGGTTAAAGAACAACTTTTGTGATTTAATGACGCTTTCTGTGGAATCGTTGCCCAAGGACGACCTTTTTAAATCGAGCTTATTTGGATGCATCGGAACCAGCTGAGCTGTGTTACATTTTCTATCTTTGCTAGAACTTCGTCATCAAAGGACAATTATTTCTTCAAAAGTGGTTACAATTCACGAAGCGGCAGTTTCTCCACACGCACGCGCGCGCGCACGTTTCCAGCCACAGGCACTGAGGGGGGAGCCGGGTTCGGGCCTCCTGCAGGTCCACCTCCGCCCCAACCCGAGTCGGTGAACATCAAGGCGCTTCACGTCCACGTACTTTCCGTTTTTCCATCCGGAGGGATTCCAGGCCCAGACACGCGGGTGGCCGGCGAGGCTGCTGCGGTTCGGGAACCATAGTGACTGGTTTGGCCATTCCCCGTCTTCCACCCGGTGACACCGCCACGTCCCATCAGCTCACACCTCCCTTTGCCCACGTTTGCGACGCCTCTGTGCTCAGTGCCACGGCCAGCGCTCGGCAGGGCGGGAGGACAGGTCCCACTCGGTGGCTGTGGGTCACGGGACGTGGGTAGCGTCGGTGAGAGCTGGCCGTGCCCCCCCCGCCCCCGCAGAAGCCCGCGGACTGAGGCTGAAGAGCCGAGGGAACCGCTGATGCCGCCCTGTCTCGTTCTAGCCGAGTGACAGGACCCACCGGGACCTGCGCTGACCCACAAGGGCCCTTCTTGCCAAAATGAACCCACCTCTCGCTCCACTCAGTGATTTTGCTCCAGCAATAGCCCCTCGCCCGCACCGCCGCCCACGGTCCTCCCGGACACGCAGGGCCAGGCCCTGCTCCACGCCCGCCCTCCACGGCGGCGCCCACGTCAAACTGCTCACAGGATCATGTGGACACTATCCCAGGTTTTAAGATCAACTTTTGTTATATACTGTAATTTAAATAAACTGCATTCACATGCCTAGTTTCTGTAACCTTGTGTACACAGAACCAAAACCTCTCGAGATGTACATTTTGTACCCCTGCCAGGCCCCTCCCCAGGGCACCCGCACACTTTACGTTGGTTCATATCCTACAAAGACGACTCGGTGTGACTTGATTTGCCGAACTCCACATATCACAACGCGAATCACTTGTGGTACTTTCGTTAATAAAATGGTGATTTTTTCCCGAGTTTCTGAACAAGCATTGCCAGGTGAGCTGGCGAGGACACTTTTTGTGGGGGCCACAAATACTGATCTTTTTTTCCCATTAACCAATTTTTTTCTTTGTTTTTTAGAGACGAATCTGTTTCACACTACACTTTGTATAATGTGTTCACATTACCTATGTTACTGTTAACTTTTGTGCTTTTATTCTTTTTAGACTTTATTAAAAACAAAACAAACAAAAAATCAAGCTCCTGTCATTTGCACTCTCTCCCAATCCTTCCATCTCTTGTATGGCAACCAAATTACTGTAAAAATAAATATACTATTGCACTAAGGCCGTGCTTCTGATTGCAAACAGCCATGGCTGAACTCAGCAGAAGTTGCCAAGCTCACACCCAGCGTAGGCTATTTGACAGCACAGCCACCGCACCTCTGCCCAGAGTTAGAGCTCGTTCCGCAAGTCCGCGTGTTCCTGGTTCCTGAAAGGGTTGGTTCTCCGCGTGCGGATGGAACCACGTCTCAGTCCAGAGGCGTGGCTTCGCCGGGCGCCTGCGGGCACTGCTGTCACTGGGCGGCGGATGCCCCCTTCCTTCCGAGTTGGCGGGAAGCAGGGGTGTCAGGGACGAGCCAGGTTGGTGCCGCCCCCTGGGGCAGAGAACCCCCCCCACACACAGCCTGTCCTCCTGCTGTCCGACCGCGAGGCTTGCAGAATGGGCGGCCTGATTGGCATAAAGCTGGCCAGGTTGGGTAAGCAAGCGTGCACGAGGGCTTCAGGCAAAGAGCTGAGCCAGGAGGACGGCGGTCCCTCCGGCTGCCGGGAGGAGCTTTAAACCCCCACAGGGACCCTCGTCCCGGCCTCGACAGCGTCTTCTGTTTGGGCACGTTCTCCATGGAGCAGCCGCCGCCCCAGCTCTGCTCAGAAGTTCGATTCCTCCGACGTGTCAGTCACCGTCCTCCTGCCTCAGGGCTTTTCCCCAGCTCGTACCCCCGACCTCGCCTGGTAAACGCATCCACCGTCTTGTTAAGAAAAAGTGTGATTGGGAGACTTTTACTTGTGCTTGAGGCATTTTAATAACCAATGAGCAGGAACGTCTTTTCCAATTGGTAGATATGCACGTTCACACGCACGTGGGTGATGTGGTGAGGTGCCCGCAGCAGCTGCGTGGACACGGCTCTACCACGCTTGCCGGGGACCCGGGTCATTTCCGAACTTGCTTCTCGGACTTCGGCAGATCCGCTCACTTGCATTTTTACTCCTCGCTGTGTCGGTGGTTTTGTTTCTTTACTGTTCCTGTAACGTGTTTCTACACGCCACCATCTCTACCATTTCCTGTTGAAAATGTCCGCTGCTTCTCCTCGGGAACTCTGTGTCAATAGCAACTCTGAAACCTTAACGTAGCCTTCAATTAAACGCAGAAACAAACAAAAAACAGGAAAAAAAAAATGTGTGTGCCTTGGGTGTTCTGAACCTGCCCTGCATAAAACCATCCTGTGCTCAGACGCTGTGTGTCCACGAAGGGTAGGCGTGTCTTCAATGTACCGACGTGGCCGGCGCGGCGGTCACAGTGCCTTCTCTCCGGGCTGGGGAGCCGACGGCGATGCGAGACGGCCGTGTCAGGAGACCTGGCCGCGGCTCTGGAGCCGTGCTCAGCCCCAGACTGTGGACCACACAGTCACCTGCATTAAAAAATAAAAAGAACGTTGACACAAGATCGCGTTATCAAGTAGTTTTCCATTCAAGGTGTGGCTACTGGACCGCGCTCAGTGTTTCCCGTCAGTGAAAATGCAGCGCGTGTTTGAGAATTTCCACGGAAGAGAGAGCTCCGTGAGCCTGCAGACTGGGCTTTCCGGCCTCCCTCCCCGGTGCTGTGTCGCCCCCCAGTGGTCATGTTGGCAACAGTGCTGATCCCTTTACATTTTGTTAAAAATGAAATGTTTGTTTTCAGTGATTGAGGCCACTCATCCCAGAACTATTTCCATTTTTCATAAGTTAAAGGAGTGGCAATACGTAGTCTGTCTCTTCCTGTGAGAAAAAAGGCGATGTAAGCCCGGCCGGCGTGGCTCAGTGGTGGAGCGTTGACCTATGAACCAGGAGGTCACGTTCAATTCCTGGTCGGGGCACATGCCCGGTTTTGGGCTCCATCCCCAGTGTGGGGCTGCAGGAGGCAGCCGGTCCATGATTCTCTCTCATCATTGATGTCACATCCATCCGTCTCTCTCTCTCTCTCTCTCCTGACCTCTCCCTTCCTGTCTCTGAAATCAATAAAAAAATATATTTTTGAGGATCTCTCAAGATAACGCAAACTTTGATTAAAAGGTGTATAAACTCATCCGCTGTGACGTCTGCAGGCGAATCAGACCTGCCACACGTTGTATTTCTAAGAACCGGGCAGCCCCTCCTCCCCCTTCACTCTCACCCTCGGGGCCGAGGACAAAGGCCGAGCGAGTGAATGATGAGGCGGAGCTGCCAGTGAGTCTGGACAGGAGTCTCGCGGCTCCCAGGTTCCCACAAAGCCCAGGGCAGGGGAGCAGCAGCCTCCAGCCGCCATCTGGGCAGCTAAAAATAAGCCTGTTTCCGAGCGCGAGTTTATAAATGTGCCCACACGGGCCTGGCAGGGACAGGCATCCCGCAGGCTCGCGGGGAAGCCCAGCCCCGCCCGCCCCAGCTCCTGGCCTGCTTGTCACAGTGGCCGCCAGGAGGACCAGGTGGGGGCGGGGAGGCCATACAAAG